ATTAATTCAAGATTACAGTGTAGATAAAGATTATGGCATGGTGCCAGATGGTCGAGAAAGACTAAAAAACTGATTGCATTATGTTCTCGAAGAAAAGTCCGAGTAAAACATGGTTCAGTCAAGTCTAAAAGACGAAGCTAGAGCAATTTATAAATAGGAAAATCGATAGTGTATGACTTAAGATGTGCACATGAGTTACTTGAGATATGCACATTGTTTTAGATACTTCTCCCCTCATGCGCATACTTCAAGCAACTGAAGCGTATGAGACAAGAAAGTCAAACACATACCTCAAGCGTTTTGCATGAGTGAGAAATTCATGTGCATGAAGACAAATCTTGAGGTATGTGTTTGCTCATGTGCTTGAGAATAATAGCTTCACTAGGAAAACAGATAAGTGAATATTTTTTCTTTCTGAACCTTAATCGTCAAACTGTATGCTCGACGTTATCGAGGCTCTTTTCGCTTGTGGAACCGAAAAAAGCGCTCACTATTCAGAGTAGACAAGTGCTCATTTTGCAGAGGTTCATTTCAAGTCAGAACTATCTCCATAACCCCTATTACGCAATTATTCCTGTATTCCGCTATTACACAGCATTTCATTTCATAATAATTTTTATATAAATGTATACAGGAACTTCATTTTCTTTTCTAATTAATTTGATTACTTCTTCAAATATAATTAACCGCTATGTTTCAACAGACTTCTTTTATCAATCTATCAAAAACACATACTTTTCTTTCACAGTTTATTCTGCTCTGACACTATTTAGATTATAAGAGAAATTTTTCTGGTTTTCTGTTTAAAGAATAAAATAGAAAAAGAATAAAATTTATATTTTCATCAAATGTTCATCTCCTATATATTCAAGGAAGAGAGTACTCACTGTCGATTTATTTCGTATTTTGAAGAAGTAATCAAATCAATTAGAAAAGAAAATGAAGTTCCTGTATATTTGTATAAAAATTATTATGAAGTGAAATGTTGTGTAACTGCAGAATACGGGTATAGTCGCGGAATAGTGGAACAGTGATCGGCCGACCAGAATATATTTTGAAACGTTCTCTTATCATTTCCATGAAAAGTAGGAAAAGTTCTATTTAACGTGTGTAAATAAAAGGTGTAGTCAAATACGTACAAAATGTGCAAAAGCAAAATGTATTTGAGATATATTGCTTGTATAGTAGTAGTAAATATATTTAAAACGTTCTCTTCTTCGTTTGTTGCATTCTCTTGCGTATATACTACAATACTCGTTATTCTAATAGTAACGAATACATTTGAAGTATATATATATGTCAATGTATGTGTCTATAATACAATCAAAGAAACCAAAACTAAATCAAATAAATCAAATTAAATACATCGAAATGTAATTGAAATAAATCCGTTGTATTGTGACAGAGCGACAAAACGGCTGAACCACAGGAATTTTGAAATGCTCCCCAATTAGAAGTCTAACACGAAAGAATCGTTCAGAAATACAGATGAGATCGATGACGTCGATTCTCTAAAGATCGATTCTTATATAAGAATCTTATCAGAAACTTATAATTCTCGTATCAATTTCTTATAATATTCTTATAAGAATCTTACCCGTTTCTTATATAAAATTGTATAAGATTTTCCATTGAAAGTGGTAAGTGCATAAGAATCTGATAAGATTTTCATACGAGGTTCGTAAGAAAAACATAAGAAATCCCCAAGCCGAATACTGGCCAGAAAGACGCCTGATTTCGAGTTTTATGGAATATTACTGTCCCTCATCAAAAGTGCATGAGAATAGAAGAAATAGAACAAATTGCACTTATCGAAGATCGAATACATATTCTATTCTATTCAGCAGTCCGGAGGTCTTAACCATTAGGCCATAAGTGCTTAGTCTTTTTATATTATTACATCAACTTATTTTAGATAGAAATGAAAGTTACAATTATAGAATATCGCCCTATTATCTAGTGAATACATATCAGCAAAATAACAATTTTTATATTTTTAAAAAAAAGAGTTCTACGAATACGACTCACACAATCGCAAGTCATCACAATATGATCGTTATGGTCATTTATTTTTAAAAGAATTGCGGAGCAACTCAATCATAACAGAAAACGGCAAAATCGACTGATAAGCTGCTTTTTAGTAGATAAAAATATCATATAAGAATTTTTGGTACTCATGACTTTCTTACGAACCTCTTATGAAGATCTTATCAAATTCTTCTAAGACACAAACGATTGTAGATGGGAAATCTTAAAAGCTTATATAAGAAACTGGTTAGATTCTTGTAAGAATCCTATCAGTTTTGTCAAAAAATTTTTGTCTAGGGTTTCCTTTTCTAGATGATGTGGATCACTCGAAGAAGACAAAGAGCAATATCTGTATAGCTGTATCGTGCGTACGTATTCGTGTCAGATAGAGATGAATGAGTCAAACGTAAGCTTTTCCCTTGAATGGCTGCCGCACACTCAATTAATCGCGTGTATATTCTATACTGTGATATTCGTTGTTGGCGTGTTCGGTAACGTTCTGGTGATTGTCGTTGTGCTTCTCCATGGAAATATGAGAACTGCGACAAATCTGCTACTAGCCAATTTATCCGTAGCCGATTTATTTTTGCTGCTGTTTTGCATGGCCGACGGTTACCAACATTTATATGCAAAAGAAAATCATCACTTAGGGAAATTCATGTGTAAGCGCCATCTTCGATTACGAATGTGCATGAGTTTCTGCTCGTCGTTTTAGGTAGTTTCAACCCGTTTGTGCAAAGTGTAACCGGAACATGTTCAGTTCTAACAATAATGGTCATCAGTTACGAACGTTACACTGCCATCTGTCAGCCACTCAAGGTAAAGTGTGACGCTTTGCAAGCATATTTGTTGCTTATCGTAAGTTAATCTGTTTTATAGTCGTCAATCAAGCTAACTTTATTTTGTACACTCCCAACTGTCATTGTCCTCTGGCTCATATCATGTGTGTTATCGGCACCATTCTTTCTTTATACAAATACGTCCACCGAAACAGCAATTTACAACAAGACAATCATTTCATGTAAGTATACTTCTTTCTCTATCTATCACGTGTAATGATGCGTGCTTATCTCTACTAGGTATGACCGAGTTTCCTCGCTCGTGGTTCAACTGGTATTTGATACCGTGCACTCTCTGTCTCCATCTTGTAATTATACTGTTGCTCTGCTATTGGCATTGGAGAATATGTCGAATACTGTTTAATCCGCAAGCGTTACTGAAAGATAACACTGTTACGACTCGCTATCGTCGCCAAGTCGCCGTAATGTTGGTGACACTGATCATCGCCTTTTTCCTTCTCATTCTACCACATAAGATTTGGGGTATTATTCAACCGAATCTGACAATGGAACAATTTTATGCCATCGGTTTCCCAAGACACTCGCTCATTATTGTGTTCACGCGAACACTGCTCTATTTGAACTCGGCTATCAATCCTATTCTCTACTGGATCATGTCGACGAAATTTCGCCAAAGTTTTCTTCTACTATTCGGGGGCAAAAGGAAGAAGTCGTATTCTGCAGTGGCACAGATTCCAAACAACCCCTATGCTCAGAAGGGTCGCAGTCCGTCGGCACAAACCATGCTCTGACAATAACGTTCAATGGGCAGAACCGACAACGAAAATCTCCGTTCATCGAAAGCAGTCACCAAAATGAGCAGATGAATGATAAGAATTGAACGCCGGAGGTTGAATTAGTGCTCAGCTAAGGACGTGCACAGAGACGGAATAGCATTACTGTTTTTTTATTTGTTGTTGTTGTTGTTATTAATGTTCGGAACATTAAATCAAAAAGCACGACGTGTGGTGGGTAAGTGGAGATAAATGATTTTGGATAACATAGGCTGTAGCTTTGAGAAAAAAGGAAGAACCCCATGCACTGAAATTCTTATTCGATAACTGACCAAAGTGTTCCGTTATTTGAAATAAATGTCGGTATTCGCAAGTATAATGGGTTACTCGAACGTTCTGTTTTTTAACTCAAAGTATTCCGCATTTCGATGCTCTGTTCCATCATGAGAGCGACAGAGGTTACTCATCCTACTTAATGAATAAAGCCTTATCTGGTCATCTCACAGTAGAATTAAATACTGGTTTCTGGATAGTATCTATTCCATGGTAAAAAGTAAGGTCTTCGAAATACTACATAGTGACTGGTTTAGTTTTTCGAGAACTTAGCAAATAATCGCATCGTATTAATAAAAAGACTTTTGTATTTTTTATTTTACTGTTTTCTTCATAATGACAAATATATTGTTGGAACGTCGAACTAAATAAAAGGTTTTCTTTATTAATAAAATGTGATGTAAATTAGCTGCTGTATTAACATTAATAGCCACAGTACAAAAGAATGCGGACTGTCGTATAAAATTTGGCAGAGATATAAGAGAAATACGAAGTGACTGATACAATGATTGTTCACTTGGATTCTATCAGGCTTCTTTGGAAGTTAAAACTGGGATAGATATGTCATATCTGAGTGTATGACAATCATGAACAACTATACGATGGACAAACATTTGAAGTATGTTGATCAAGTATTTTCGAAAAGAATCCTCAAACATGTACAATCTACAGAACCATTCTTTTAGAAACATTTTTCTAATCAGAAACTATCTTTCATAATTGTGTGGTCTTTTCAACACACGCATTCTCGAGTCATGCTTTTTCCTTCTAATTTCGAACAAAAACTGTACACTCAAATATTTGTTTTCCTCATTTCTGAAAACAATAGATATCAACAAATTTCACACATCATAAGGGATAGCGTCAAAATAACAAACGGTTTCTTAATATATCCAGTATACATTCTCTTCATAAGCAATTTTTTTCCACTTTACTTTCAGAAACCATGCTAAAAGACGAAAGATTGGACATTTCACATCCTTTTAGATAACAACCCAGTTTTTTCAAGTGCGAGTACTTTTCACACATCAGCGCTCAATGATGTACAGTAATGATAAAAGAATTATTAGACTGTGGCCTGAATAGAATAATCAACTTGCCCATCAAAATACTGTTTGTGTTTTCTATATTCATTCATACTTATTATCCAGTCATTGCTGTTTGCATCTTTCCACGGCTCATCTGTGGCTAATATTCCATTGATGTGATCAATTTCATGCTGTAACAATTCACTGACACATACTGGCAATTCATTCCATATTTGCTTGTTTCCATCATCATCCAAATAGCTGATGGAGACATGTTTATATCGTTGTTTCTTAATCATCATTTGTGGAATACTCATACAGTCATCCCACAACGTTATACGATCATCTACTGATTGCCATACAATTTTTGGATTGATCAGACTAAACGATCCATAGCCAAGATTGAGTGCAATGACTTGTAAGTTAATACCAACTTGATTTGCACTCATTCCACGACCGAAACCATTCACTTTTCGAAACTGATCTAATGCTTTGTGCAAGAGTAGTTTTTGACGAAGGAACTCTTTGTCGTTCACATCGGAAATAGGCTCATTTTTGATACGTAACTTCTGATCACCAATCAAACAAATGTTGGGTGTTGAAATGGTGTGAAGCTGTTGATCGATATGAGAGACGACCCATCGTGATGAATACGGATTTGTGCTTTGAGATCGTACACACGCTTTTATTGCACGTGAAAGTAATTTCAAACTTGAGTTTTGCATGGCTACTTGTCGTCGTTGTAAAAAGAGCTTATCTGTCATATAGCAGGTAGATAAGAACTATTTATTTTGCTTTTTTCTTCTGAATCATATGTGTTGCATTTAGCCTAGAGATCAAGCGTTATGTAGGATTTCTATAGGTATCTTATGAATTTCTTAATAAGCCAGTCGATAGGAGTGCGTAGAATAGTGATAAGAATCTTATATAAGAAACTAGTAAGATCTATATAAGAGTCGTAATGATTCGTACAAGAACTTATATAAGACAACTTGTAAGTCAACTGCTTCTAACGTAGATGAGGTTCCGATTGTTATAAACAATGCAAAGTGAAGATTTCTAATCTGCCAGTTCAAAGTAGGCGGTCTGAAGACACGCCGTCATTGTCTACGGTCCGGTCCGTAGACCGGCTTTACTTCCCGAAATCCATCAAGACTACAGGAAGAGAATGGAGTTCGAAAGATAAATACTGAGATGATTGAGCTTGTGATCCTTTTTTCTCTATAAAGATGGCATTCAAGTCGAACTCTCTAAGTCGCAGAAGATAGAGCAGCTAGGGTACTACTAATATGTATCAAAATTCCTTTCATACCTGTCTTAACAAAGCACTGGAAAGAGTCACAAAAGAACTTCCTGTATAGTTAGTTACTTACATGCCTCATCATCCAATAGTCAGTGATCAAACAAACGAGTTTCTTGATTGATCGCAACAGAGAATGTATCCTTGAAAAACATTTTAATGAGGCTTTACTAGTATACAAATACAAACCAGATCTCTATATAATTCTGACAAAATCCGAGATAATCCGGTATAGAATACACCGTATCTGATAGGTTTCCTACTGTAAGCTAATATAGGATGCAGATGATAGAATCCTATAGGAAGTACCATTCTATCCTCCAATCGCATGAGCTCCGATGATAAGATGACGTAGGATTTCATAGGTTCCTTCACTTTTGTGCTGTAAACGGTATATTGCTAAGTGAAGGCTAATTAATCCTCGGAACGCAGTTTTATTGTTAAAATAGTATCATACAAAAAGTTAAGGAGACTGAAACACTGAATCGTTCAAATCACCGGCAATCATGTCCTCTGCCGAATTTATTCCTCCAACATCATTGACCAAATCGCTGTCTAATTATTCAGTGTCAACATCTGCTTCTTTAAAAACCAATTCACAACGTTCTGTGGGACGAATGAGAAAAAAACCAAAGAAAAAAGGAACGTATATTACGCTGCCGTACAAAGGCGTTTAAAACGCCTTTTACACAAAAATTTACTTTGAAACGTTCTTTATATCACAGAACAGAGAAAACCGAAGAAATTTTGAAAAGAATTTGTTTTTTGTAACTCATTTACGTATTCCGAGAGACGTTTTTTCTTGTGAAAAAATACACTGTGTGCCGAAATGGAAAAACGGAAATAAATGCACTCTTTTATCTCTTTCATTTGTGTTTTCCTGATTGAGAAGCCGTTTATTTCGTACTTTCTTTTCAAACTCGTTTTATTGTTAGAAAAAACGCGTTTGTTCGGACTCAAATTTTGGATTGCGTTCAGTAGTTTCGAAAGTAGCCCAAAATGCCACAGTGGGTAAGCATGATCCATAATCTTGAGTTGGTTTTGTGCTTCGCATATGTAAGCACACATTCGTTCTCAGTAAATTCAGAAATCTAACATCGAGCCCAAATGAGATAAATCAGAGAGAGTGCAGATTATTCTTTTCAGCTATCGACCTATATAAAAACCAAACATAGTCCTACCTGAGCTTTTTGAAATCCAGATCAGTTTAAGAAATCCTCTTAGGATCCTGCGTTCAACTGAGTTCATCACAATACTATGGAACATTTTGACTCAGTTTACTCAAGACCTTTTAACTTTTGTGTCTCAAGATGTCTTTAGACTGTCTACTTTAAACTGGCTGATCAGAAATCTTCACTTTGCATTGTTTATAACAATCGGAACCTCATCTACGTTAGAAGCAGTTGACTTACAAGTTGTCTTATATAAGTTCTTGTACGAATCATTACGACTCTTATATAGATCTTACTAGT